TCTTTTGGTTTTTCTTCATTTGTGTAGATTTTTCTCTCATCCCTGGAGGAAAAGGAGGTACAAAAGAGGAAAATAATGGAGGAAGGGGGCGGTCAATAGGAAGTTAGAAAGAGAGAAGAGTGAGAGGGAAAACAGACATACATACCAACTAACAGGTGAAAAAGAGACATAAGGCCGGAGAGAAGTGGAAAAAAAAAACACAGAAGGAAAATTCCCTAAAGAACACTGGTAGCTACACAGAAACAGACCAATAAGATCATGAAACAGATAGTGTAAGTTAGAAAGCAAACAATAGTGAGCAAAACGTACAGTCAGAATGATAAAACTTAAGGTCAAAATAAGAGGTCAGACTAGTTCGGTAATCTTTCCTTAGTGGCTAAAGTCACTTGAGCTCTGGTCTCCAGCCTCTCCCCTCTGTTTTTGTCGCAGGCAGCTAGCCTGCTGCCTGGGAGGTCTGTGACTCTTAATTACCTCAGTCTGTTCAGCGTAGGGGAGGGGCTTTGTCTCCTGTGTAATGACGTCACCATGGGAATCGAGGTGGAGGCTCTGATAGGTGGGCAGGGCAATGCAAATCTGCCTAGAGAATGGCGGAGGTGGTAGTTTCACTTTCACTTTTAGAGATGCTTGTCTGGGATCAGCTGCACAGCTGGGCACTGGATCTGGGGTGTCACCAGCAGGCTGGAGTGGAGGAGAGGGTCGGGCATTCCCTCCTCTGGAGCTGGACGCCTCCAATCAGCACCTTACACAAGCTTGGGGTTCTGCTCCCTTACACAAGCTTGAAGTCGCACACTGAGTGGCTCAGCCAGGGTGGGCAATTTCATTCTTATGAATCCTTTGCTTGACTCCTTTCACCTTCTTAATCTGGTAAAGGTGAACGTTGATGTCGCCTCCATTATGGAGGTAAGGACACTGGCTCAGGGCAGCAAGGGGACAGTAAGCTTGTGCAGATGGAGACACAGAGCCAACCCCAGCTCTCCAGAGCTCCTCCCTGGGGAACAGAGGTCTCCTGGGGGAAAAGGGTCTGTGAATGTCCAAGACCCCTGCTCGTCTCCAAGGTCAAAATGGGAAGCATCCCTAGAAGGATGGGCCTGCACCTCCTGCAGCTGCGTTGCGGAAGACACCGCCCACTGGGTTGTTGGACACCCATTATGAGAGCTACCACGTAGCACTGATTACCAGGAAAGTACGTTTTCTTCTTAAACAAGGTTCACAAGAAGAGTTTTCACATGGCTCTGCCATCCTGTCAAATGTTGAAGACAGGTTTGGGGATATTGGTCGAAACTTGGGTTGCTTGAAGGGCAGGATTGGATTTATACCTAGGAGGTTAGGGGGTAGAGCCAGCTAGAAGGGAACCCCCCACCCCTCGATGAACCAGGGTTGCAGAGCCTGGGAGGTCTGCTAGGACAAGGCAGGCAGGCAGGAGCAGAGATCCACGCATCACATGGTGGTCATACCCTGGACTGAGGGCATCAGGAGACCCAGCCTCAGGCCAGTTGCTATCTCACCCTGTGACCTTGGATGTGTCACTTCCATCACAGGAGGGAGATCTGGGAGGGAGGCCACTTGGGAGTCCCCCCACTGGTGAGCTAGGGAGGGCATGACCTGAACAGTGAAAGCTGGCGACCATGCAGCTGCAATGGAAGATCTGGGGCAGGGCTGGCCCCACGCTGATGTCCCACGTTGAGGCAGGGGCCAGCCTTTATACCCCAAGTGGCCCCATCCTTGACTGGGGTACAGCCTGGCAAGGCAACTTTCTCCAGCTGAGAGTAATGCCCAGAGGGCATCCCAGCTGACAGCTGTCAGCCACCCACACCCCTGGCAGCTGTGGGAACCCAGGCAGCAGCCCATGGCATCCACCTACCTCCTCGCTCTGACCCTCCAATCACAGTGTCCAACTAGGTGGCCCCTGTGTCCCGATGATTCTGATGTGGCCCCAGTGATGGGGCTCACCGTTGGCCTGGACAGGCTGTGGCATGCAACTGGAAGCCTGGGCCTCCCCGGCAGGGCAGGGCGAGCAGAGGGCATGCGGCTGCCTGCTGACCGCCCCACCCTTCCAGCCGACCTGTTCGACATCCTGCTGCCCATGCTCAACATCTACCAGGAGTTCGTCCGCAACCACCAGTACAGCCTGCAGATCCTGGCCCACTGCAAGCAGAACCGTGACTTTGACAAGCTACTCAAGCACTATGAGGCCAAGCCCGACTGTGAGGAGCGGACGCTGGAGACCTTCCTCACCTACCCCATGTTCCAGGTGGCCACCCAACTCCGGAGAGCACTGAGGCCCACAGCCTGAAGGAGCCTGTCCTTAACGCACGTTCAGCATCGGGCTGTGGTGGGGGAGGTCAGGGGAGCCCCAGCCTGGAGGGTGGAGGGCAAGCTGACTGCGGCCTGTCCATCCCATGGAACAGGCCAGGGGCAGCTCCTGGAGATGGCTGGCAGGGAGCCTTCCCTCTCCCCTCTACCCCACACCCCTCCTCCACCCCCTCCTACTGTCCCCCCCACCA